CCCCGGCCCCCACAAGCAAAGGAGTCTCATTTCGAGTTCTTTGACATCCAAGATGAGCATTAAGGAAAAGTACTGTGAAAACCTGGCTCTTAAGACCTTCATGCTTTGCTTTTAAGACCAGGAAAAACTTCAAGAAAATATTATTTTCTATTATTGACCTGTCAGAATCCTTAAGGTATGAGATGTAGCACATCTTAGCATCCAACTAATTCTTTGGCAATGACACTTGAAAAAGAAATCATTAATTTGAACTGCTCCATTACACAGAGTGATTTTGTACTTTTCACCATTTTTAGCTTTGGGTTCATCTACCTGCATCCAAGGGCTGTCGCAATTATGGGGCATTGCATTGAAATGCTCCATCCCAGTCCTGAATTCTGAAAGACCACTGAGGTGGAAAACAGCCAGGCTACCACCCTTTGTTAGGGGGTCTGCCCTGTGGTAAAAGCAAGATACCACGTAAGTTGAATGTAGAGGAGAAGAGCACAAAAGTGGCAAAATGATGTGTGGCATGTCAGACAACAATTTCTTTATTGCATGCATTTGTGAACTCCATGCTCAGGATGATGGATGAGTGGTCTTGACATTCAGGGAGTCTAGAGCTGTGTCAGTACCAGGTCAAGTCTGAAAAAATGTGCAGGTACACAGGAATGACATCCTGGGAGAAATGAGAAGTGATGAGGAGGACATTCACAAAAATTGTGTGGAGAGGTCTACTTAGGATTTCTGAGTGGAAACACTGCAGTTGTTTTCATCATTAACCTATCTACATCCATTTGGAGAAAAAGAAGTTCAAAGAAGTTCAGCTAAAAGGCAAATGCACAGAAAGTTTGCTGTGCACTGCTGCATGCCATAATTCTCCAAAACAGGTACTGAAATACCACAATACAATTGTGGTTGTCTATGTATGGGATATAGATTCAACTGTAAAATAGCCTTCAAAGCCATGTTCTTTTTAAACCTTTTATCACAGAATCACAGAATGTTAGGAGTTGGAAGGGACCTCAAAAGACCATCCAGTCCAACCCCCCTGCCAGAGCAGGATCACCTAGACTAGGTCAAACAGGAACGTGTCCAGGCGGGTTTTGAATGTCTCCAGAGAAGGAGACTCCATATAGACATATGTCTACCCTAACAGTAATTTTCTGTGTAAATGTTTCTTTTGGGGCACATATCTGTGTCATGTTAAGTGTAGATGCACTTTTGCAGTAGTACTTCCTTAGTCTTCTGTTATTCTTCTGCACTTTTTCTTTCATGGGGTAAGTTGTTCTCCCTGATCCAACAGTGGCTAATTCTAACCTAGTATCTGAATACAGAGCAACATAAGTCTTTCTCTACATATGTGCTTCATGTGGCATTCATGCAATATTGTCTGATGGATGCCTACCTGGGAGGATAAGGAGGGAGAGGGGGATGCGGGAGCAGATGCAGAGGTCATGAAGAAGAGGTTCAGATTGAGGTAATGCTCATGGCTGCAGAGAATTCTCAGGAACTCCAGTCTCATGGAAATCAGGGTGGAGACTGAATTCAACTTGTTTGAGAGCTAGAAAAAACAAATTAAAAAAGTGTCATATGTTGGGCATGCACTATTTATTATGCCATTCAGCAAAACATCCTGCTTCCTGAAGCAAAAATAGCTAAATAGCCCAGCATATATCAAAATGCTCATTAGTTCCTTGTACCTAACTAGTTTCCACCCATTAGCTGGTCTTTGTTTGGCAGTGGTGGTGTATTTCCCCACCCCTAGTTGGCTTACCAACTTCCCAAGAGACAATCCATTGTTTTATTTTTCTTCCTAAAAGAAAAACATACTTTCTTTTTCTCCTTTTCGTATAACACAAAGATTAAAACCAAACAAAGCTGTGTAGTCTGTAGCAAATTCATCAAAAGTCCTGCTAGGCAACACAGAGCACTAGTTGACTTGTCATTTCCCTTCACATCAACAATGATATCAGTATAGGATTGCACATACTATAGGAAACCAGAATGGCAGCCACCTTTTCTCCTACCTACCTACCATCAGCTGACAGAGGGCCTTCCTTTAGCAGAAAATCTACAGCAGGTATATTGGGTCACAAAACAGAAGAAAAACTTTCCCCTTCAAATACAACAAACAAATTAATAGCAACATCTTGCAAATATAATTTATTTTTAATTTTTGGAAGCTTGTAATCCAAAAAGAGAGAGCGATCATTTTGATCGAACCTCTCCCAAATCCAAATATTGTCCATCACAGCAGTGCACTGAAAGAGTCGGAGACCAAAAGCTGCTTCATATGGTCTGCAGGCCCTGCTGCTAAGGGATGTAAAAAAGTAAGGGAAGAAAAGTGACTCCATGGATGCTCTGCAGCAGTGCAAGGTATGACATTTCTAAAAGAGCCTTAACCTTCACTCAATTTTTTTCTGCAGACCACAAATCAAAAGAGGTTTAAAGTCGCTGCATATGCAGTATGGAATAGGAAATTTACCTTACCCTTTAACACAACTCAAAGGATCTTGATGGACAAATGAATCAAATAGAACAGAACAACGGACTGGCCATAAGCCAGATGAAATCACAATCATGCATGGTGCCTACCTGATTACAGTAATGTTTGATGAGATTAAACACAAATCCTCGGTCCATTAAAGAAAGAAGATCATACAAGAAAAATGCCAGGCTGATATTAATTTTTTCTGCTTGCTCACTTTCCTTAAAAAAAAAAGGGAAAGAAAAGAATTGCAGTTATGATGTATGAAACTCATATAAAGGTGGAAGACTTTTTAGAATCATAAAAAATAGTGTAAGGGACAGGTCACAGAACCATCTCATTGAACAGACTGGACAAGATTGTTTGAGTCTTCTAATTTATGTGATCTTGTTAAAATTATACAAAATCGCTCCTGTAAATTATTTCAGCTGTTGTAGCTTTCACAGAGGAATACCTTAGGATGAACGAACAAGTTTACCTATGCAAACCTTTGGGCTGACAACACTGAAATGGAATTTGAGATCTGTTCTGCATTCCCTGTGGGCTGCAATCCTACATATGCCACTTTATTTTTTTTTAATTGGACCTTAGAGAAAGCTGTACTAAAATATAAAATATTATTTTAAAATACTAATAAAAATCTGCACTGGCTTGGATAATGGAACACAAAGTGGGGTTTTTTTATTCAGAAATTTTAAGTCTAAAACTGATCATAAATAAATACTGGTAAGATCAATCTGTGGCTTTTACCATTTAGTAGCTAAGCTCTTGTATTTTTATAATTGGACTGATTACCAGAGAAGTGCACCCCTCAAGTAAAAATCACGAAGAGCTTCAGGTGCCCTCTCAAATGAGGTTACAGTTACTTGAAACATACCAATTTAAATAATAAAATCTCAGTAGCATATTTAGTTCATGAAGAGGAATTTTTGGAGGTGCCTAAGAGATCTGCACACATTAAATGCTCAGAGCCCTCAGGATGGTTCACTAAAGACTGTCAGAGGAGATGACTGAGAAAAATGTTGCCCCTACTCTTGTCTCTGACGAGTGAAAGCAGGTATGCAGCACCTCAGGGTGGTTATGATTTAATTTTTCATTTTTCAACCTTTTTGTTGCTGTTTCTGTTCAGGAATATATATATGTATTCCTATGATCTGGAATTTACACAGCAAAACATTTTTGTATTGTGAAGAAAAAAATTAGTTTTCCACTATCTTACTGTGTAGGCTAACATATGCCAGAGATATCACTGCAGAAATCCAGGACAATCTAACATGCTCAACCATGTATTGAAACATAGATTATTACTGCTTGGATTTAAAAATAAGACACATATTACCTACTGCTGCTCTGTACAACTAACCAATGGCACTAATTCTGCAAACACTGCAGTGGCATTTTCACACAGTCAGACTCTATACACTCACCCTATCAAAATCTAATAGAAATAACAGCCCATAAACACCTGTGTATTTCTTGTGAGAAAGCCATAAAATACTAATACTAATACTATACTATTCTAGGCAAATCCTACAGTTCCATTAAAGTGTTTTTAATGTAACATTTTTTTATTACACAACATGTTTAAAACAAAAAGTCATTGACTTTTACTTAAGTAAATATTTCTGTGAAAACGATTTCTTTGTACATGCACGTGGCTACCATGGAAGCCCACCAAAGGACTAAGCAAAGGGTAAAGCTTCAGGAAGAACTTTCTGGTGGACAGTAATGATGACTTTTGCCATTCCCTGTCCTCAGTTGTCCAGCCTTGGCCTTTCCCAGTTTCTGCTCCCCAACAGCACAGTGGGACACACATGCAGAACTGAATCAGGAAACTGATCTGATTGAAAAGTGACTTACCAGGCCAGCTCTCCGGCCTGGTCTGCCCTGTGACAGAGCACACTGCTGGGCTAGCACAGTGCATTTGGCAGCTCTGGGGCATGAAAACAAGTTGGTTGCAACAATGGAATGAACAACAGTCACCCAGGGTCTACCTATGGCTTTAACTTTGTCTATTGGTCAGTGCAGAGTGACATTGCTGATGTTAGCTGATAGTATTAATGTTAAAATAAAAATTACATTTTGTGATCCTTTCAACTTTACAATCCATTATAACAATGCAACTTGTTAAAATACATCAGGAGAAAGAATTTAATGGGATTTAGGGCTTATACTTCGTCTTTAAGTTTCATGTAGCCAGTACCTCTTCAAAGAGATCTGGGATTAGATCACTTGAGGCTGGATTTTGCAACCCCAGGAGAAATACTGCCTTCATATTGCATAGCCAACTGTTGTCATAGAAGTCAAATGTGGAATAAAACACTATGCAGTAGAAATGAGGGTAATCGAAAGGGGGATAGAAGAAATAAGCCCTACTTGGGCTACAGTTTGATGTCGTGGCTAACTTGGCATAAAGAAGCACTGCCGCGAAAATGGAAGTCCAACCTTTTCTGTCTATGGCAAAGCAGATGCCCTCCCTGCACTCTGCAGCCACAAGAAGCAGGGTGGGGAACTACTCTGAATAGATACAAATGGTCTGCCAAGGGAGCACAAGGATGCCCCTTGCACAGCCACAGCTATCACTTAAGTTCTATGGGAGAGCACTGCCTCAGTTTTGGCTGAATTTAGTGACACTGCTGAAGATGAAATGGTATTAAATACAGCTCAGTGTAATGCAAGTAGCAAGGATCCATTGTGCTTATTTCATGTATTTACCTTCTGTTTGACTATAAGTGCAGCGATCTCTGAAGTAACCACACTAACTATAGTGGTGATATCATCTTTGAAGCGATCAGAGAACCGGCTTCTCCGTGGGTTGTCTTGTTTCTCTATGTTGTGAACATACTGAGCCATACTCTTTATCTGCAAAATAGGAAGAAAAAAAAGAGTGCCCATATTTGAGGTAAAAATACTTCTTTAAGTTAATCCATAGAAGTAAGGTTTCTCACTTGTTTTTCCCAGAATATAATCACTCTCAGCTTCTCAGAGTCACCACAATAAATCCTACATGTATTGGCAATGACAAGAGAGCCTAAGATTCGAACATGGACAGACACTGTGTTCACGCAGTTGGCTACTCTCAGCACCTGAAATCAGTATCCCCCTCCCTGGCCCTTGCATCTGCAGCTACGAAATGTTGCTGTTTGCAACTTTTGCCTTTCATGATGACAGACAGGGAGTGACACCTCTGGAATTAATTCCCACCTCTTGACCTGCCGTTGGGTTGTTTATATGCTGCCAGTGGAAACCAGTATGTCAAATCAATTTCCACTGATAACCATCACCTCAGGGCTCTGTGAAATTGTAAGTTTGGGAAGCCCTGTCACTATTCTCATGTTGTTAACAAAGTGGAAAAGAGGGGAACAGGAATTCACAGGAAAGGAAGGGCTCAGTTTGATGTCTGACTTTCAGCCTTCTGCAAGATGTGTGCTACAGTGCATGTAGTTCATGCAGGACTTTGCCATCACAGGCTGTCAGTGGGGAAAGGGGGTGAATATGGAGAATTCTTTAGCTCTACTTCCATCATCTGGGACTTCTCCTTTTCACGCTGGGTTTGAATAACCACCCACCTAAATATCTGCTGGAGTACCTGCTAGATTTCACCATTAAATTGCTATAAAATACCACTGTCAAATCTTACCAGGAGCTCAAAGAAGAACCAGGCATACTTGAAGACAGATTCTCTGACCATACCCGTACTAACCACCATCTGCAGTGCCAGCTCCTCATGGAAATGCTAGATAATAAACACAGAGTGTTGGGAAATGGTTCTTCAATCAGCTCATCTTGCACTTTCAACCTCCCTCCAGCACACACACTTTCAAAATCCCCCCTCTTCCCTGTAGGAAACTCCACCACACTGGAGAATCAGCAGGTGGATGCGGATGTGTGGACATCCCTATAGGATGAAAAGGCAGATTTGACCAAAATTACATATAAAGAACGCTGGTGGCAAACAGACTTTGGAAGCTATTTTTCTGTGGATTCAGAAACCTGGATAACCAAACTAGGAAATGCCTTTGGTCCCATTACCCACTACCTCTTATTGTTTCTGTTTAACACTTCCATGGCTTTTTTTGAGAGAAGGCAAAAGTAAGATCATCTCTCTGGTGGGAGAGAACACAGCAATAACTGCAGGAGAGCTTGTACAGAGGTTTGTAGTCAGATGCAATAGTCTATGCAGTGAGATCTGACCATAACATACCCAGTCACAGTGATCTAAACTTTCAGAAATCTCAAATCTGGACTAAATATTTACTGCAATGTCTATTTTCTGATCCTGACACAAACAATAAAACTAATGAGATTGCTAAGCTTATTTACATTGAATAGGACATACTAACCCATTCAAGACTCAGACTGGGTATAAACCTCTATGCTTTTTGGCATAAGTCAAACCAATAAACAGGAATAGGAAAGGAGAGTCTCTTAATTGTAACTCAGATTCTGAACTTCTCACTGCAGAGCTTTTCTTCTGCTTCTTCATGCAAAGACACTCCAGCTGATCAGTGCTAAACATGAGACACAGCTCTGGAAAAGTTATCTATGTGATATGGTATCTTCTGTGTTAAAAAGTTATTTGGGAATACATACTCAAGATAGGAAGAAATTTATTGGTTCTAAAAGCTACAGAAAGGAGGAAAGAAAAACATTCTTTACAGAAGAAATAAATGGCAAACAGTTCTGAATGCAGTTCACTGTAACAACATGTAAAGGCAGGTATCCAAGGGTAAACAGCAGTGGAAAAAGACTGAGGCCCTAACACCTTCAGAAAGAGAGCAAAGGGAGGATCCAGGCAGGCTGCTACTTGTCTAAATCTGTCCTGGAAAAGAATCTACAGACTCTGGAGTAGAAGCAGAAATGTTTGGGTAACATTTACCCACTGATTCAATATTCCATCACAAAACCCTGGTTTGATAAAACTTGTTATTTTGTTCTCTCTCTCCCCTCTCCTTGTTTAGAAGCACTGCCTGAAGAGGCTCCAGGCTCTGATAATGTGTGCGCTCACACTTAGTAGTAGGCTACCTTTTTATTGGATGGTCTTGGGCTTGCACAAACATTTGGCATGTCATTTGTTCCTTCAACATAGAAAGACATCCGACTGGAGCTGTGATCCATAGGCTGGAGAGTATGGCCAGAAAAAGTACACAGTTGTAAGTTAATACATTAATTTAAGCTAATTAACATAGAAGAAAGCATCAGCGGTGGTTTTTTTGGAAGATGTGCACAGATGTTGACCTAAATAGCTCTTTTCTTCTCCCCATCCCCTTTCTCAGTGGAGGCCGAAGACCACCTGAATGCAGCAGCCGCAGGAGCGAGCAAATGCCAACACTGCCATCATGTGTCAAATTTCAGCACTACAGTTGTATTTTGGAAGCTCTACAAATTCACCCTTTCAAGGGTAACTGACCTTCAAGTTTATATGTGGCTCTGCATCCGAAATTAACTAGCATCTGGGAGTCTTCCTTCCATTAAAAGTAGTACTAATTTAAAAGGCAGTGAAATGGCATTACTCACCCAAGCACTGCAAATTGCTACATTTATCAATGAGATGAAGCTGTAATATCAAATACCAAATTTAATTTTGTATTAATTTGGAAAAATCAAAAATGCCTTGAGCTCTGTTTTTTTAGGACACAATACATTAGAGTAAACTTCATAAAGCTATTAAGTTCAAATCTACATTATTAAAAATTACTATGCATGAATACACATTGCCACATAAACAAATCAAACAGACTGGCAAAGCCTGTGCATCTTACTAGTTCTGGCTTAATTTGTTGAAGACAAGCACCCATTCATTTTAACTGGAGAGGCACGTGATAATTCAGTGGACAAAAGACTTAAAAAAGTTTCTGAAAATAACCTGCTTGAGAAGCAGTATTTTAAATATGTAACACTCAAAGAAAAGGGAAGGGTGATACAGTTCAGAGCTCAGCAGATATACTGCTGCAGAGCTCTGCCAGGGCTGCAGCTAGGAGCAGGCTTCTTGCACAGGGGTAAAAATCCTGCTTTTGTCAGAGGCACAGCTTCCCAACTTCCTCTGAACTCCAGGTTTTGGTTTCCCCAGGAAGCTGAGTACAGCTGTACTCATAAAGTTCTGAGATGAACAGTGGATGCTGTAGACCAGCAAGCAGCAGGTGCCAATCAGGGAAGCAAAATCCTGCTTCTTGGTTGCCATTGTCCTTCCTATCCTGCAAACTTTGATGGCATATGTAGTTCTGGATAGAAAAGACAAAGGAAATCTGTGATTCACTCTGTAGGTGAATTAAGTATTTGGAAAGACCCTATTACAAAATATTCACGTGACATCCATACTATAGCCAAAATAAAATCATCGGTCCACTGTCATATAAATTGCTTACTGTTTTTTTTAACAGGAAACTCTTTAGTGCTAAACAGGCTCTGTGATTTAAAAAAAAGAAAGAACAAGAGTTAAGAGAAACAAGAAGAAATTGTCAGTAATTTTCAGGAAAATAATCTCCTCTCTGAGGAATCTTTCACCCGTTTCAGAAAGTGAATCTATTCCCAGTGTAGCCTTTTCTCTAATTGACTCTGTGCAACCTGGACTAGCCCATGTCACCAGACATGAACAGAACCTAAATGTCAGACAGAACAGGAGAGTGAGGCAGATCAAAAAAGCAAATCCCTCTGTGGAATGTGTAAGCTGCAAAAAAAAAGTTTCTTGCCTCTTGCTCTCTTTACTGACAAAAGACATCAGAATTTATCAATTGGAATGAATGTGCCAAACCAGATAAACAGCACATGCTTCTGGTGATTCATACAGTGCATTTATAAGTAGCAGATCCAACCCTCAAAGAACAATTCTAGATTCTTAGGTTTTGGCCCTTGCAATTCACCAGATAGTTGACTTCATTTTCTTACCTTGGATGACACGATGCTTCTGACCTCCTCATCAGTAGCAGTGATGTCAGGATTGCTGCAGCTTATCACTCGGCTCTGCAGGAGTTTACTACCAACAGACACTGCAGAAGTGCGTCCGAATGTGTAGTAACGAGACTCTGTCAAAATGGTACTGCTGCCTGCACCTGCCCATAGGGAGATGTTTGAACTAAGACTAAAGGACATACATATGAGACAAACATGAGACTCAAGCCAGTCTCAGTGCTGTTATAGCATCAGCATTATGAAAAGTATAGTATACTAAAAATCCAACCACCAACTGCTTCAGCAACAAATTACATAGGCATTGAATGACAAGGTGCAGATGTTTTCAGTCAGCAGCTCACAGTGCGATTGTACAAATCACGACAAAAAGATTAAGAGGGCTACCTGAAAAGTAGCACTATTACAGTAGCTCTTTCTTCCTCCTTTCAGCTCTTTTTAATTTGCTGTTCATTAAGACAAGATTCATATGCCCAAACCACCTTCACAAAATACCACCTTCAACACATACCATTTAACACCACGTTCAAAGTACCCAAGGAAGCAGGGAGCACTGCCAGCAGGGATTTCATTAAATGATTACCTAGTTTTCAGCTTTCCCACATACCTTATTTTTCCAGGGTAAAGAGTTTCCAAGTGTATGCAAGTTCAGAGATTTTAGCACATCTTAACATCAGTCCAAATGTCCTTCAAGGGAGATTTAAATAAATATTTGAAAGAGAAAAGGGCCTACCTATCTTTAGCTCCCATGGCAAAGTTGCTTGGTGGTAAGTCAATTAATACATAGCAATTGATCAAATTAATCCTATAGGCTTTAGGACAGTGGACTGCAACAGAACCACAGAATGGCTGATGTTGGAAGGGACCTCTGGAGGTCATCTGGTCCAATCACCATGCTCACACAGGGCCATCTAGGGCGAGTTGCCCAGGCCCATGTCCAGACAGCTTCTGAGTACCTCCAAGGACGGAGACTCCACCACCTCTGTAGGTAACCTATGTCAGTGCTTGGTCACCCGCACAGGAAAAAAGTGTTTCCAGCTCTTCAGATACATTCTCCAGTGTTTCAGTTTGTGCCCATTGCCTCTGATCCTGTCACTGAGCACCAATGGAAAGAGCATGGCTTCTTTTTCTTTGCACTCTCCCTTCAGATACTGATAAGATCCCTCCTGAGCCTTCTCTTCTCTAGGCTGAACAGTCTCAGCTCTCTCAGCCTTTCCTCATGGGAGAGATGCTTCAGTCCCTTCACCACCTTCATGGCCCTTGGCTGGTGTCTCTTCAGTATCCATGTCTCTTGTACTGAGGAATCCAGAAGAGTACACAGTACTCCACATCTGGCCTCACTAGTGCTGAGTAGAGCTGAAGGATCACCTCCCTCAACCTGTTGGCCAACATACAGGCTTCTATCCTTTGATGACACCCCTAATGCAATGGAGAAATTGGCAGAACTTGGCCCTATGCCACTTGGCAGTAAGTTAGTTTGCATGGCAAATAGTTTACTGACTGACAGACCAGTAAGAAATTGGCACCTTAAGGTGATTTTAATTTCTGGAGGAAACTCCTCTAAAGAAAGTCTCAGTTTAGGAGATGTTTCTCACTTTCATCTTCATGAAGCTACAGCACTGCATGTAACTGCGGAGTCCTCTTATGTTGATCCTGCATATTAAAGGGAGGACTGAGAGACAGAGATTAAGAAGGGCAAGTCCATGTTGCTTTACGCAGTGCTGAGATCCCTGACCTTCCTCCGAGAAAACTGATATATCTGAACAGTGCTGTACTTAGAAGGTATGCAGTATGGGCCTGAGAAGCTGTGTTTGCTACTTTATAGGCCAGTTCCCTAAGTCCTTCTCTCAGAAGAACCACGCTGAGTAGCATGTACCAAGAAAAAAGAATATTTTTGCAACCCTTGCAATATTACCTGTTTTGACTACTTCTCTTTGAGGGTCTGGCAGACGAAATACATAGTAGACATAAGATGCCAGGAGACAGTTTCTCCCATGCTGGTCTTTGCTCAGGTCTTTGCTGTTATGGAGACTGTTTACTATTGCAACCACAGATTCAAAGGCAAACTGCGAGAAGTTGGCTGTGAAACGAAAGGCAAGAATTAGTCTCAGCACTAAAGGCTATTGACTTTAGGTCAGGCCATGCTTTGTATCACCACCAACTAATCCTATATACCTTAATTCAGTCCTTAACAAATTCAGAGCTCTAGACAGTACTTGCTATACCTGACCAGACCTAAGGTCTACATAGGCCAATAACCACTCTTAAGTAGACCCACTGACTTTCAAACCCATCACTGGTACTCCACCTCTTGCTGCTACATAAAAGGAGACCCTAACTGTTAATTACCAATTCTAGCAGCCTTCAGGCATTTCCTATAAAATACCTACTTGAAGAACACTAAGACTCATTCTTCAGCTGAGAGACAAATATGAAATTCCACAAATTTTATAACGGATGACAAGTGTTGATTATCAAAATGAGATAGGAAAAGAACTACACTACTGTCTCCAAGTGTGCTTTCCCTCCAGAGTTAACATATGTGATGGGTAATTGGAAGCCTCAGTAACAGAAGAATCTGTGTGCATTAGTATGCCCTCTCTGTTTTTGACCTCACCCTATTCTGTCTGAAGAGAGGATATGGTGCAATCAGCAATGTCAGCTGCAGGATAAGTGATTTTTATGGTGTTTTCCTTGCAAACAGCTGAATTATAAACAAAGTTAAACCACAACCCATTTTCTGACCTATATTTCCAGATAAGTAAACTGCTACAATTTAACATACCTCCCAACCAGAGTCTGAGTGTCTTACGTGTAGGGGGAAAAAAAGAGGTGGCAGGAACTCAATTAAACCTCATTAAGTTGTGCAGTGAAACTGCATCTTGAGAAGCATAACTCTTTCTGAACTGGAGTACCTTAAATACTAAATATGACTCTTGAAATTTAGTAATAATTTCCCCCACATCTCTAGGTTGCTTGCACTACCACGCCAAGGCCATGCATCAGTTAAATACCTGTCTGGCCAGCTATGACCATGGGCTGTATAGCCAGCTGGAAAAGTTTATCTAGTACCAAATGTAAAAACAAGACAAGAGGTTCAAGGCGTGAAGAATTCAAACAGATAATGCTGAGTTTCAATTCATGTTCCAGTGTAGCCTCTGTGATCTTCTGATCCATCAGTCGAATGGGGAAGGTCACTTGACTTTCCAGAGAATGGCACAGGGTGAAGAACTTCTCCAGGTGATTGTCCTGCAAATACAGTGCACTCACAGTTAACAAAGTTGATACAGTGCAGGCTGCTGCTAGCTAATCCGAGCCTGATTGTGACACCTGATGGGTTGAGAGGAGATATTTTTCACCCTTCTAGTTGCAGTGGTGGCTAGCCCTAGAGATGAATTTGTAAAGCAGCTGCCACAACCTTTTTTTCGTTCCTTTTCATCTGGCTCAGATCCTGGTTAGGCCACAATACAAGCAGAAAAGTTAAAGCCCTCACTAAAGTGACTGCTTCATTTCATGAAAGTATTGTTCTCTCCTTCTGATAAAACTGTCATGCCAGGGGTCTATAGTCCCTCTGCCACATGCACCTAAGTTCCAGTTACATACAAGGTATATGCCTTATAAGTATGCTCCACTTGCATTTAAAAGGCATGCTGCAAAGGGGTGATGGACCTGCTTCAGATACAGGGTGTCCAGTTTTTAGGACATAGTTATCAGGGTTAACTAGAATGGAATAATGGATAGGAGACACTGTAAAGCAGCAGAAACAGCTGTAAAACAGCAGAAAGCTGCTGTGCCTCAAACCAGTACCCAAATAAGATGGGGAAAGCTCCCATTTACTATCACATTTATTGACCAGAATCATAGAGTTTCACAGAATTATTAAGCATTAAGCTTGTGTTCCCACACAACATGTCATTGACAGCTGAGCTGCTTAAAGCATTTTGGCATTATAACCTGTCCCTGCAGGTGAGGAATTGTTATGTCTCTGCAGATAGGGACATAGTCTCTGAACTCGCTTTGCAGAACAGAAGATGCTGAATGCAGTAACTGGCACTGTGCACTGCCAGTGTCTTTCAAACACAGCCTAAGCAGATCCTTACTGAGCTGAGGGGAGACCAGGCTCCCTACTGTTGCTGAGAGTGCTAATTTGCTCACTTGTACCAAGGGATTTCATTTCACCAAATGATTTCATTCACTGAGGATTTCAGGCTATTTCCATAGCTGTTAGTTGTTTTTAAACCCGTGTGTACTAAATCACGTCCATTTTATAAACCTCTTAAGTTGGAATGGACATCTGAATTCTCTCTGAAATGAAACTACAATTTTGTGTTGCTTCTTATTCATTACCTGAGTGTGAACAGACGAAACAGCTTGCACTTCAACATTGAAAACACCCTTGTGTCCTTCAACCCACTTAATAGGTGGTGTCTGAGATGGAACTTTCTGTGATGGAAAAGCAATATTGGAATCACTATCTTCCTTTCAACGATCAAACAAAGTCTATTTACATGGGCGTCTGTAGGGTACACATGCTATTCATTCCACTTTAGATATCTAAATTCAGTGCCATACAGAGGACCGCAGCTAGGTATCTTCTTGTTCTCATAGACAAGATGGAGAGAAGTTGATGCTTTGAACAGGGAAATTTGAAGCACTTCAGCTGGATGTCTAGCACAGTGCTAATATACATCATCCGACAGAATACTTTCAAGGTTAGAAGTTCCCAATTAAAGCACTGCCAAAGGCACTCAGTGGTGATGTAGTGCAGTTTTAACCATATGGACAGCTTCCTACTTGCCGTATCTACTCAGAGGGCACAGTTTTCTGCTCCTGTAGCAGCACCTGATCCCATTTCTTCTCCCTCTCCTACATAGCCACAAAAAAATGAGCAAAACATCCTATGGAAGAAAGCAAATTATTGACTTGACACCCTCCAAACAAATGTATCACTGATCAGGCAGCTTACAAGGATTTTCTTGGATTACTAACTTTAAAAAACACAATATAATACAAAAGAATAATAATAACATCAATGACAATAATAACAACAGCATTTTTCTCCAGAGCTTTCCCTTTCTAAAGTACAAAAACAGAGCATTGTCTACTAGCAGACAGCAATGTTGGATTGCAAAACACTTATGCTGTTCTCGTACATTAGGAAAATATTATCTTTTCATAATTTTCTTTGTTACCTCAGGAGAGTGAATTGAATAGTGGAAAGGCAGCTTATCTAACACAACAGGAAGACAATAATGCCCAGTTTGAAGACGATCATTTAATAGAATCGGCAGCCACTGAAACAAATTAAGAGAAAACACAGCAATATTCATGACGATATATGATTAGTGGCTATTTATCGAATCTGTTCTGTCAGCAAAACAACAAATGAGATATTGACCTGAGCTTCTTCTCAACCTATTCAACAGTAATTTCTATGCATCTTAAATTCACTGATAGCTGGTGTAGAAAACTGTACAGGACTGCTTTACAAACCACTCCTCTTGAAGAAAACACAGACAAAGCTTTTAATGCGTCACATACATTACTCTAATAAATCCTATCAGAAGGATTCAGTAGATTCCATGTTTTTATTTAAAAAATACTTATCTTGAATAGTCTGATCCTTGGCTTTGAAGCAATTCAACAGAATTAAAGTTTTGCTAACAATAAATTGAACAACTTTGTCATGGTCACCATGAGGATTAAGGCCAGAGTAACTCATCGTAACTCTGTATTGATACTTGGACGCACTTCTCTCCTACTGAAGCCTGAAAGAGGCTGTGCATTTGAGTATCACAGGGCAGAAAGATTTTGTATTTAAATAAACAGAAGCCTGAAAATTAAATCTTCATCTATGACAAGTCTTGCTCCTTACCTACAAACTAATTTACTTCCTACCAATCCCACTTACATTACTGGGACTGTATCTGTCCATCAAAGAAAGATATTTGAAGGGGTACTCAGTACTGGGATCAAAAGCAAATACAAACTTCATAGCAGAAACACATGGAAAGTACTTGTCTGGCCCCATAGCACTAGAACGTATTCAAATCTTAAGTATTGTCACCATATATGCTTTCCTCTTATTTTAAAATATCTTTAGTTAAAAATATTGATTGTTAAAGAAAAATGTCAAAGATACTACGCTAATATATCTATTTTTAAGCTAAAATACGCTAGTCTCAACATTAAGATAACGAATGCAAGAGATTTATGTTTTAACTTCCAGATTATTTCTGTTTTTTGGTGGTTTTGGTGGTTTTTTTTTAATTTGATGTGGGTAAAACACACATTAGAATATATACTATATGCCATATAAAACCTAATTGAAAATATAATATTAGTTGTTACCTCATGTATGAACACATTAGATAACAGAAAAGAATTGTAACTGCATATGTTTTAGGGGTTTTTTTTGCAATAAATAGAATCTAACAAAATTCTTTGACATGCTATAACGCATTGATGTTGCAAATATTTAGGTGCATACTTCAGTTACTTCAGATGAATTAATCAACTTCAAAGACACTAGTGTAGAATTATAGGATGAGGATGTAACATAGCACAAGTTGCATATGGTTTCTGTGAATTAACATTAAGAACTTCTACTGGTTTTGATGTATGACCATAACCGGAAAGGTAACAAAATTCTTGATGAGTGAAGAGTCTGTTTGCATGGGATGTAGATACATATATGTATATATACACACACATACACTTATATATCACATGGAACTTACTGAATACCCAAGAAGGGTTTCTACAGATGCTCCTTGCTTTGGCTGGCAGCTGATGTGATAGAATGTGAACAATAGATGGTGTTTTTCTGTGAGTTTTGCTGGCAGCTTTATCTTCACTTCTTCATAGAAGTCAGGGGATCTATTTAAAAGAAAAAAGCCAAGCATGTTTCCAATGTAAGTATGTGACTGAGCAGAAAGCAAATTTGCCAGTAGGCTTTTAGATGCTATGGCTGTAAAAACTGTAAATCCTGAAAAAAAGCCTCAGAGTTAAACAAAGTGCATACATATATACAGTTGCACTTATGAACTATCTACAGCTTTGAATCAGGAAAAGCATAAACAGTATCAGAACTGGGGTTCCAGTATATTTATTGTGTAAATCCTGAGTCCACATTCATGAGACAGAGTCCCTTTAGTTACTTTGGATCTATGAATTCATTGAAGTTAATGCTGTTAGAAAGGTGTGCTGCTGCTTCCTACTCCTGCTTCTTAATCTTCAGATTAGGAATATTCTCAACTAACCTTAGAAAAGCTCCAAACAAGAAAAGCAAATGTCACTTATGCAATGGTCACTTATACAAATGAATGTAGTAATCAAAATTAGATATGACAAATCCGCATAAAATGTAAATGTTTAAAATGGATTAGTACCAGCCTTCCTTGATGAACTATGTAGGATAAGAATTATGTAAAGAGGTCATGCTTAATACCTCTCAGGTCATACAAATAGTAACAATACTTACTTATTATGATACGTGATAGCTGTGTATATTTCTTGGACAAATTCTGGACCTGAAGATTTCCCAAAAATTACCTACATTAGGAAGAAAAGTAACAGCAGTCAGGTCTAAAGCATTTAATTGTCATAATCTTGTATGAATTTTAAGACGGTATATTAAGGCTGAAAACAATTCTTCAATTTTATCTTAGCACGTTGACACAAATGTCTTATTAGCAGGCATCTTCCCCACACACCAGGAAAATAGAGCAGAGGTAATTTCCAGAGCCACCAACTACCTCACATGACATTCTCCAGTCCTGTACTAAAAAGTTAGGAATTGCATGAATAAAGTTATGGTAAACTTCTTACACATTGTCACATTGCCTTTAAATAAATGCTAAAAAGTGAAATCAAAATTATTTTTAGAAGTTTGTATTTCAGTTGTAGCCTGCTCATTTAGGCTACCTTAGAGGTCCAAAGTTCCTTCACAATCAATGAGGGGAAATTGGCATTTTTGGTGCTTGATTTGCTTCCCTCATTTCAGACACAACCTCATGGTAAGGTCCTGGAATCCACTAATTTGAAGGGAGTCCTGGAAGGTGGGTGTAGACAGGGATATCTGTACGGCACAGTGCCCACATGTATTGAGATGAAGCTCTCTCACAGGGAAGAGGGATGTCAGATGAACTGTGTCTATCCTAAGCATCTGCCAAAACCTAATTGTAATACGGGCAAAGTTTAAGAAAACTAACAATTCAGTACAGTTACATTCACATGGCACACTGCAGTGTTTGGGAAAACAGTGCTGACGCTCTGATTTAAATTCCAGAGCTCATATGGAGTAATGCTGTGAAGTACGCACTGTGCAGTGTCAGCACTCAGATAAAGGCTGGTCAGGTGTCAGTCCTTGCTCCAACAGCGTGTTGGATTAAAGTTTCTTAAAGTAATACTATTTTTCCCCCCTATAACACATAAATTTCACAAAATATTTTATCCCAATGTCATTCTCAAATAATTAATTACACTGTCTAAAAGTTTTCCAAAAATTTCAGGCTGAAGAAGACATCTGAGCTAGAACACTTAAAGCTGAGCATCTGATGCTTGAGCATCTGAATTATAAGAGATGTCTCTCTTATAATGAGAAACATTGAATAACCTGAATACAGACAGTACTGCCAGTGCTGCCTGCTCTGCTAGTAGTGCATGCATATGCTCTAATATGCAGTGTGTTTCAAACACAGAAAACTCTATCCACAGTGTATGATAGTGTACTGCTCAGATTCAGGCAATGAAGATTCTAACTTCTACCTTCCAGTGTCACACCTGAGTATTTGCATATGCATTCAGAGGAGTTACACTGGAAGACAGATTACGTCATACTTAAAAGGTCTCTGAAGCTCTGTGAATTTTCCCATCAGTGTGTCCAACATAGGATTGATTTAATATGATGTCACTCTTCTGAAAATAAGGTAGGAAGACTTAGATAAGAGGGAATAATACACCTCTGTTCCACTCAAGTGACAAGTCTTTCCTGTTGTGGGTAAGGACTACAGCCCTGCTTTCTAATGAGAATGACAAGCTTCACAAGCTCTCTGATGTCAGGCTTCCTAAGGCCCCACTAGAAACTATGGTGGTGGGAAGTAAACAGTGAGTTATTTCTTCAGAGGTTCCTCAGGAATGCACATAAGCAAAAGTCTGCTAAGAAATCTCAGCATTTATTACCGGCGTTGCACAGGATGGGTCTTCGCCACTCATAAACTGGATTTTGATGGTAATATTTCTTGCAGAAGCCAGTCGGTTAGCAAAATTCAGCCTCTGAGGGTAAACATAGAGGAGATTTCTGGAAGAAAGAAAAGGAAGGAAAAAAAGTGGGTAAATTACATGCATTTGCATTTCAAAATGAAGGGCACAAACTAGAATTTTGCTTATTGCTCTCCTTGTCCTTCAATTCCATCCAGATAGTGAAAGGTGCCAGAACTCCATTTCAGAAGTTCACAAGGAAGAGGTAAGTTCCTGCTGTGATGTATAGAACATCCTATGTTTAAGACTTTTTATTACAGTAAGCTGTCTTTGAGAAGGTAGTCTTCCTATCTTTCTTTTTTTGGAAATACACAATTCCCAGTTACAAGTGAATGGGTATCTTTGCTTGATGTAATTAAAACCAGGAATCTCCCAGAAGTGCAGCTCCCTGCTCAGCTGTGAAGAATCAGATTTTGAAAGGCGTAAAGAATCACTCAGAGGTGACAAAAATGGGTAAACCAGCAAACCAACAACTGATGTTCAGATATTCCTAGTTTATAGCAACAAAATGTCATCTATTTATAGATTAGGCAACTAAGAAAAAGTAGTATCAATGAAGCTGAGTAATTACAAACAAGAAATTTTGCACTATAATTCTAGAAACTGCCAATTTTTAGCAATGAATATGAATAATGCTTTAAAATACAGCACAGTTTGCCGTTTACTACCTTTTGTACACGGACAGATCACTAAGCTTAAAAAGCAACTTTAATTTCTGTGGGGAATTTGGAAACATAGATCATCTTCCAAGTTCAGAACCCAGCAATTCTAGTAGAAGAGTCAAAATGCTAATAGGAAGCTTTTTCTCCAGCTAAGTCTACAGCAAGTTTGAGATTTCAGCATGACCCGAATTTCACATATTCTGGCATCACAATTATGTCTATTTAATGTCTCATTTTCTCAGTCTGGTACAGGATTCTCACTTTGTCTTCTGAGTGTGAGGAATAAGACTAGTGTTGGTGGAAGTATACTGGCTTTCAATGAGAAACAGTAAGAACTACTCATGGGTTTTCATCCTTTATTTTTGACTGTGACAGTCAGAAATTACACATGAAATCTCCCTGTCCTTATCACAGATATCTCCGTGGCACCACTGTCAGCTGAAAATGTGGAGTAGCTTTGGAGAATGTTGTCATTAAGTCAAACAGTCCATCTGTTGTATCCCAAGACCTGGAAAATTATGGTTGATTTTCCTTATTGCTACATGTTACAGCGTAACACTAGTTTTCAACCACACAGTCCAAGCTACTTTGCTAACCAACACATGCTACATGGGATGTCTAAGCAAACAAACTATCATGTCATTTGTTCTTCACTTTGCTCAGAAAAATACTCCTGCCTGCCAAACTAATGCACTTTCTTCCTTACCTTCTTCAATGCAATTTCTGCTCTGCCAAATGCTCTCCAGGATGATATTAGGAAAAGCTAAGTGAAAGAGAGAAATATATTGGTAACCTCCACTAAATTATGCTCAAGGGAATGGCATATTAAATGAAGGATATTATCAGTATTAGATCTGCCAGAGGTGAAGAAATACATGTAGGGGAGGCTGCATAATCCAGTCATTGCTTCATTAATCTGCAGCCCAGCAGAAGATGCCACAAATCCATGTAATGTCCCTGAGCACAGGATTTTACGTTTAGATGTGACTTGAGATGAAATATATGTAAAATCACAAGAGAGCCCTCTGCTGACTGTACAACCAAGGAAAGCATTACGCCAGCAAGAACTATGCTGAGGAGCTAAAGCCTGTGTCATTTATGCTCAAGCAGTTTTAGGGATCTTGCTTACACATGTACTAAACCCATCAGCACTGAGGAGGAACAGAGGCAGATGCTGACTCTGGATATCCTGCAGAGATGAAAGTGATGATCGATTTTTCAAAGCAGGAAGGTAGGGAGATGATCAAAAGAGGTCCCTTCACACAGGCATGAATTGTAGACCCACTGCTATCCACTGTGTAAGTGCTACTGCCTGCCAGCATCCATACACCCCAAAAGCCTGAGAGGAAGCAATGACAATAGCATTTCCACATGGCAGTTAGCAGGGGTGTCAGGGCAGTACATACTGCTGTCTTTTAAATAATGGGATAGCTAGCATGCTCATAAAGATGAGGTGAGCTCCAGGAGGCATTGTGTCTGCCCTGAGGCTCTGCACTGAACAGAAATACTCAAACAACGTGTCACAGCAGTTATTTTTGTTCAGTGGGATTAAACTTCTTCCCTCACTTCCCCTCCAGAAAGTGCAGGGCTTTACCTCCAGATGAAGTCAGATGTACTTACAAAAAGCAAAAGAGCTATTCAGGAGTCGGTATGGGTGTACAAAAGCCATGGCAGAGCACCCAGCTTCACTGAGACCAGAGTCCCATGGAACAGCAGAGTCCTGGGTGAGGCATGCAGCATGAGACTGATGCAGCAGAAGGATGGTAAGATGAGAGGCTACTTCAGAATCAGTTACTTGCTGGGACAGCTAGGGGTACACATAGTCTGCCACAGGAGAACCTTGCAGCAATTGTCATTTGAATTGGCGGACCTTTCAGCACTTTCATGAGACTTAGAAGTGGTGATTTGACCACTTCCCATGGCCAAAGCAATGCGGATCTATCTTCTGCCAAAATAAAATCTATGCAGTTTCAACTCAGTGACCATTCTCATTGATTATTCCTGTTTGTATTTACTGGTTGTGCGCATGTGTGACACAATAAAATCCTTCTCCTTGCTAAATTACTCAATGTGTGATGTGTCAACAAGTGCACCTCAAACTTCTAATGAATATTAGGCATGTTCATGGAAGACTGACAAGAACACCATACATAGCAACAGTCAACACATGTGCAAATAGTTACTACTGATACAAACCACAAATGTTCCATAGGTGAACTGTGATAGATGGGTTTACATTGCCATTTAATGCTTATGGTACTGCAAAAAAAAAATCTGATACTCATTCATTATAATTTTCAATCTTTGTTGATTCCTCCACACTTCTGTCAGGGTGGGCAGAGAATCTTCAGAAAAAAATGTTTGAAAACTATAATGCAAATCATAAACATTACCAAATATGGAAACCTGTTCTAGTCAGCCACTGACTAGAACAAATAGCACAACGACAGAACTTCAACATCTGACATTCAACAGTATTCATTTGTGTCACGTATTCTGTATTTTAGTATGTATAATTTGGATAATAGTTCAAATTATTTTTCTCATATTGCTAAAATTAGTAAGCATGTAAAGAGTCAGTGGTCAGATCATAAATAAATTTAGGTTGAGAGTGACTGGCACTTTGTTCTGTCCATTAGCATTGGTGTGAAAACTTGAATAAATTTTCTATTAAAGTTTTATTCAACACAAAAATAATGTTGTCAGAGAAACTGAGTGAATGTTTGACTCAAAACATCAGATTTCTGCAGATTCAAATCACAAAATCATGACAAGAAAATAGACATTTCTAAATTTAAATGTGACCTATTGTCTAGGGTCAAGTCAGATGAAGATTTTAACAGCTTTCTCTCCAGGAATCATAGTTATTCATTATACATCACTGAACTAACCTACCATTATTTCAGATATTACAGACAAGTAATCAGTGACATTATGTGTTTGAAAGCCAAGGCCAAAGGCAAATAATCAAGATTTTGTGAATCACAAAGATCACCAACAAAGTAATCTCTTACCTATCATATTGATTTTCTGGAGAGCAAATATAAGAAACTTCTTGACCCACAATTGCCTACTTTACATCATCTTTTTCAGAAGTTTCTCCTAAAACTGATTTAAATTTTTCAAATATGAAAATCAAAGGAACTATACCACCTTCTTAAGTCTCCACCCTCCATGCTTTGCAGTCCTCTACCAAACTAAACTCACCGTTCCATTGATAATACCCTCATTTCCCCTGCTGGATCCTGTACTATTAGACCCTGAGTGACGGTGTTATTAAAGTGGATAAAATGAGTGGATATCCACCAGGTATCAACTATTGCAACATCAAGGCACTGTAATAACAAGGTGGTAGGCCACATATAAGGCATTGCCTGGTTGCCTGAATGAAGTATGAAAATCAGAAAAAAGGAAGATAGCAATTATACCATAGAACTGTATTTTGTTCATTCATTTGCCATCCCAGCACCTCTGATTCCTCCAGCTGTGTAAACAGAGGTAAAGCTCTATCCAAAATTCTCATTGAACACTGATAATCAAATTACCAGATTTTTACACATAATTTTTACACATTTAGTCATATTCAAAGCATAACCCACTGCCTGCTGAAGTGGAGCTGCAGCAAAACCAAACCAGTGAAGAAGATGTTCTCATTCAAAACCATCTGGACCCTCACACTACTTAGGTCTTTTGTGTTTCAGTTACAGCTTCTTTCTCAAGAGGAAGGTGAGCATTCAGTCTTGCACTGACTGCCAATGATTAGGATTAATGAACAGTCCAGTTTTTCTGGGAAGCCATTGTGCTAGATAATAAAGTGCTTTTTTTTCAACATCCTAGAGGAGGAGCAATAGTCACACCCTTTACAAGACAAAGAAAAAAGTGGGGAAAAATGGCCTCAAGTTGAGGGAATTAAACCACAACAAAAATGCCCAGCATTGATTTAACATAGTGTATAATCATTAGTCTAAACCTTCTAACATTCTTGTATGGTACGTATCTTGTTGTGAATATGAATATGCAGTTGGAGAATATGAGATATAATCAATATGCTAAGACTTTGCATAAAGTCAATGGTAGAACTGGAACTGGATTTAAGGACTATTATTCAGTCCCACATTTCTTATACTTAAATACACATATTGAAATATATACTATTATCTATAATTTACATATTAAATACATACTCTATATATAATAGATATACTATAACTGTAAAATTACAATTAACCAAAATATTTTGAAGATCCCAAAAAACCCTCTCTAATTAAATTACTTGCAATTTTTTTAAAGAATAATTATGCGTTTCTTTAACTGCTTTTCTTTCATTTGGAAGTTTAGACAAATCCATATTTTATTCAGAGTCTCTGCCCAGTGACTACACAGAGATTACCATGCCACAGTGGCATGTTTTCCTCTCTGCCTGTATTGCGTAATTATGAAGTTGGTTATTAGGAGTCAGGTGTGAAACCTCATCTGAAAGCACTGCGACAAACAATCTGCCTATAGGAGAGGGACCAGCACTCCCAGAACCCTGTTTGTGAAGTATTTGCTTTCATTGGTTCTGCTTTGTTATACAGTATTCTACAAAGTCATTTTTATCTGAGTAAAAAGTAAAGAAACCTTCCATGAAGGTTTCCAATGAAGCAAAACAGCAAAGGAAAGGGTTTTTTCCCCCCTCTCCCATGAAAATTCTGTAAGTGTTAGGCACTTCCCCTATCAAAGACAGGAATACCTGTGCCCGGTTAATCTGAGTTACTGCTGAAGCGGTGGGATAAATCCCTCTTCCTCAGTACCAACATTTCATAGTGGCAGTAGGCAGCATCACTTTAATTTCTTTTTCATGAGAAAACAAAATTATGAACAAACTTTAAATTATATGATTTTCCTATTAAGAACAGAAGGGTACTGAAATAAATAAATCTTGGAATGTTTTGACATTTTCAGGGAACTATTTTTATTAAAGACATGTAGGTACACAACAAAAAGAAGTGCTCAATTTCACAGTGAACAAAGAAAGTGGGCTGGCTGATCTCTCTGGCATAAATCAGAAATAGCATCATTTAAAATAATGGCATTACACCAGTATAAAAACTAGCAAGAACCAAGATCAAAGACTGTAACAGAACACTGCTTCTCCTATCATGAAGGAAAAGGCTATTTTATAAAAAGAAGACTTTTTTCCTTTGAAATATCTTACACTGGCAAAAAAAAACCCAAAACAAGTAAACAAAATGTTTGCCTTTTTTTCAAACGTTCAGGAGAAAAAACTGAAGCTAGATGTTTCATTATTCTTTGTCTGGACATGTGTAGAGATATTATTATGTCAGTAAGAGCTTACTAGACTGTATTTTTATAAATTTTCATTTATTTTTTATTCAAGTACATTTCTATATGTAACTCTCTCCTACATCTACAGCAATATTAATAGAAAACAGGTAATTATTTTATCAATTTTTCATCCTTTTAATGTCTAAATCTATAGCACTGGTAAAAAAATGGTCTGCAGGCTTACACTAAAAAATTAGGAAACATTAAACCACCTGTAACACACTAGCAGGCCATGACACTCTGTTATGACTAAATACTAGCACATTGCATAGTTAAAACAGGATGGATCTACTTTTCAAATTAGAGGAGAAGGAATAAAATAACATGAAACACTTAATACTTGGCTCTATTCAAACTTAAGAGTTACTTTGCATAGGTTATTTTAATTTTAGGCTCAAAACAGTATTCACCACACAACTAATCAAGAATTGCATGACAGTTAAATTAAGCAAATACATTGGTCTAACTACGCTTTTGCTCACCAAATGGAGCACTGGCTTGATTGTATGGCAAAAGCGTCAGACGTGGCTAGGTGATTCTGGCTTGTGAGAAAAGGAGGTGTTTCCAAGGGCACTGTGCAAACACAAGTATTACTTCCTGGACTCCACCAAGTTCCAGACTCCACTGTTTCCTAGTATTTGCAAAGCTGCCTCATCTTTCTCGACTTTCTGGGGAGCTACTGATGGAGTTCATTAACAGTTTCAGTTGGCAACTCCCCTTTCTCACTCCAAACATATTTGTTGTCACAAGGCAGTCAAAACACGACCTAGCATTTATCCCTTTTTTTTCACCATTTTCCCAGTGTATGTAACTAATTGTATTTAGGGTTTAATTGAGTTATCAACTAACTGCGTTTCCAGTTTACAGCATAACTCTACTTACAGCATGTCATTCGTTGTCATCACCACTGATTCACTACTTAGGGTAAAGATTAATGAAGGAAAATATTCTTTATAGATATTATCTTCATTATTACAAGTTAGGCTGGACAGACCCTGCATGGTTTTGTTACCATGACTTTTACTTAGGGTGAACATCAAAAGAGAGCCCAAAAAGCATGAAGTAATTATGTCAGGTGTGAACTCTTGCACAGAGAGCGTAACCGTTGAGCTATAGTAGGCATTTATCGTAATGTGGGTGTATGTATTCAATATAGATACCCTAACAACTGAAGAATAGTGCAGAGACTCCGAAACTTGCTTCAGGAAATGGACAAATTAATTTTCAGCATGGTGGCTTTGATACTTGTGAAGTCTGGCTGCAGAAGGCTACTTTGGTGAGAACTAAAGAGAATATTCTGTGCAGACTCAAGTCTTTCTAGCTCAGCAACACAGCTGTTGCTAATGCTTTTCATTTTCAAAAGCAGACCTTTAGACACTGAGCACTGGACCTGACACATACCACTCCTTATTGGGGCCAGACAATGAATAGGAAAGATAAAATTCTCTTATTTTTTAATAATAAACAGTGTGATTACTCAATGTCATTTACATTTGCGCTTTCAATTGTATAAAAACTACTTCCCCTATAGAAATGTCCAAATTAAAACCCTAAAAATTGAAAAAAAAAGCCAACGAAAAACCTTGCACTTCTACTTTTGATACACAGAGAGAAATACCATAATACTCTGCATTTTAGCATCCTGGTGCCAAAGGTTCAAAGAAACTGCTCTCAGGAGTTTGAATAGCACAGATTCAGAGCACAGCCCAGGGATAATTCCTACATAACTTCTAATGAGGCTCTATCCAAACTGGCTAACTTACTGACTTCCCTGCTGACACCACATTGTAGGTTGTTATCTTAAGGTAAGATGCCATTTCCTCTTTTTGGTGTCCTTAAAAGCTGCGACTCAAGTCCAGGCATCACTAACAGTCCCATTGGCTCTCTAGTTTCCTGTGAATATCCTCTGAAGTTTCCTGGAGCATCTCCCCAGGAGTCTGCAGCCGTGCAATTCTGAGTTGTACTGAACCACAAGTCTTGTCCTTGCCTTCTCCCCTCCTGAGTGGGGTCAGGTGAGTGAGTGAGTGGGAGGGAGGGAGAGCTGGCTCTTTGCTAATATCTGCTGCAATAAATAAATAAGCTTTACATCCCTTTATTCAGCTTCTTCATTCTGTGAGTCTTTACTGATAATCACATCTTTGCCATTAATGAAATTCAGTACACAGTAACTGTTTTCGGGACCAGAAAAATACACCTCAATAGCACTAACTACTATTGTAAGAAGCATTCTGCTTTACTTCCATGCCTTCACTAACACAAGGGTCACATGAATGCTAGTATTACTGTATTTGTAATACTGTAATACATTTGTTTGGAATTATTCCTAGTCAGCTATCAGCAGTATCACTGCTCATTAGCACCACCACGCTGCACAAACATGTTGAAGCACATTCTTTTGATATTCTTTTCCTCTGGAGAGTCAGATATGCCAGACCATTAAGAAACTATGGGAATTGCTCAGTTGTGTGCTACTGAACACTGTGGTCTCTTTGAAACAACCAGAATAGAATAGGTTTTCAAAAAGAAATTACTTAGCCTAGAGTCCTTGTTCATGGTAAAAAAGTACACAGAGCAACACATTACTTCCTCAGATGTTCAGATGATTCAAATTAACAGTAGAAACCACTCAGCACAAACACTTGCCAAAACTGCTAAAAATGATTAGTATCTACTGGGGAAAAAACATAGAAGAGGAAAGATATATATAGATATATAGATATTTATGCCAAGTCAATGAGATGTGTTAGGGTTTTATTTGGACATTTTAGAAAAATTTTCAAAGGACAACATAATTAGATCAGTAAATACAGTACAGAACATTCTGCAGCTGTTTTATCTTGTAATGGCTAGTAAGATTTAATCAGCAGCCTAACACATAGTCTTTAATATTTTTCAAAACTATTTTTACTTTCTATTTCTGAAAAATATCTAAAATGCAGTTATTTTTGAAAATGGATCTCAAGAATTTAAAAAATATATATTATTTCTTACCTATAAGTGGTATGGGGAACATACACTTCTCTGATTGGGAATTCCAAAATCTCTTTGTGAGGACGATTACGGTTTTCTGGAAATGGCTTCACTGGTAGTAATTCTGGTGTCAAACAATAACCAAGGTTTTCTGGAGCTGGGGAAATCTCCAGTTTAAGTGTACCTTTAAAAAAATCCACAAAATCTCAGGAAAAATATAAAATATAACCAATGCATTAAAAATAATAAAAATAATAATAAAAAAAGAAAACAACATGTAAGGTTACATAGCAACTCTGCAGAAATAAGATCTTTAGCTTGAAGGTTGCATGAGGATGAAAGCATGGGTGTAGAAAGATACACAAGAAGTAGCCTACACACATTCCTACACATTAGGCCAATATATAGCTCTTTATGTCTGCCCCATACCATTTCAAAGAACATGAAAAAAAGAAGGGATACTATATGCTGGGTTGATGTTCGAGGATCTTTCACAAGCAAATGATATAAAATTTGTCTGGGAGGCAAATAAAAGATAAAGGGGCTGCTGTCTGATATAGTTCTCTCTCACTCCCCCCACTCAGATTTTACTTTGATTAACCTCTGCCAAAGTAAACACCACCCACCAGGAAAGCCAGGCTTGTGGTGGTAAGCAGTGAAACAGTTAAAATTTACCCAACTATAACCAGACTTTCAGTTTAAATTCTCAGCTGCAGTAAGTGAAAACCATTTGGAGAACTTAGACTTGTCACTTCTGTATATCGGCTAAAAATGCAAAACAGCTTTGAATTAATTTCATATTTTTTAAAGTTCCTCTACAACCTAGAAGAGCTTGCGCTGCAATTTATGTAAAAAGAAAAAATAAGCTGGTCATATTTTTGACAGTAGCCAAACACTGTCTCTGCTTCTCTATTTTGTTAGCTAACAGTGACCCAAGTACCCAAATAAGATGACAAGTGTACACATTTTTATCTTCCTCTGTAAAATACGATCCATTTCAAAACATTGCCGGGAAATAGGAAGGATCTTAGAAATCTGCTTTAAAGCTCAGTCTTCAAACATTTTGAATAATAACAAAAGATGCCCAGTTGGTATTCTATAAACTAGGAAGAAAAGCACGTAATTTTAGAGTATCAAGCTCAAGATAAATCTCCATACTAACTCATACAGGGAAAAAAAACCTCAAAAGCATCTGTGCTCAGGTTGATGCTGGGAACCCAGGAAGTTCCACACAGAGTATAGACTTAAAACCCAAGTCAGTTACATTTTGGGGTTGGAATTTGCAGAACAGTTTAGGGGAGAAAAGTAATTAAATGCTTTTCCATCCAAAATGTCTTATGTACCTGGTAAAGTCTTAATTCTTCTCTGCAAGGACGATGATCTTTTGAAATCAGCTAAAAACTTGAACAGATCTTCATCACTAAGCCTGTCTCCTTCCTACCAGGAGAAAGACAAAATTCAGTACCTTCATAACGATACTCCATTACACTGAGAAAAGCTTCTCAACCATGTCCTTGAGGCATGCAAAGCAAGTGGAGTACTTGACAGTAGTTATCCTCTGTCCCCACACAAACATCACTGGTAACTTTTCCCAACTCAGTTCACATCACATAGATGAAAAATGTCTTAGGCAATCAGAAATAAAAGAGTATCCAGTACCTGTTTAAAGAAGGTGTTGAGGGTCAGAGAGATTGTTTTGAAGTTTGATACCAGATAGCTGTCCTCTGAGCTGAGACTTCTTTCAGAAAGTCTTCTCGCCTGTAGCAGTGTTGCTCGCTTGTCACTACTGGATCCCCTCCCTTCAAAGGGAAAACGTAACTGGCTTTGTGTTGCTTCACTACAAAGACTCTCAGAATACACTGGAAATCCATAACTTCCTAGCAACATCAGAGAACAGACAGAATACCCAGAACATGCCACTACTTTTATTTCAGATGATGTGAAATAGTGTATTGGCAGGACACACCAGGTGAACTAACATTATTCCTCTTCCAGAGCACAGGCTTACTCAGATATTTAGTTCATGGGTTATAAAGCACATTGGTCAATGTTGACCAATGGTCCTGTATAGTCTAGAAACTACAATGGTATGTATTTCGGTTGCCTTGTATTGCAAATGAACTTCATATGGCAAAGGAAGCTTTACTTCTACAAAGCCAGTGTTCAACCAAAATTGGGCTAAATATTCAATGGAAGAACACTTAGCAAACATAAAAATGAATATGCAGAAATAAAACAGTGAGCACATTAATTTGTGTCTGTAGCACTGAAAATGAAGGCTAAGACATGACTTTGAATCCATTGTTTCCTATGCACAGTCCTACCACAGAGTCACTTTGTGCTAGTGAGAGAAGTAAGACAACTACCGTTTAAGCCTTCGGCCTCAGATATTTCTCGTTCAAGTGTTGAAAGGTTGAAGAAATTAGTTAGGCTTATGGGAATCCAGGCAAATGGCATTCTGTATTTCCCCAAACGCTGACAAAAGAATTCAGCTTGGGCTTTCAGTTTTTCAATCTTTTCTTTTGCCTAAGAGAAAGAAAGAAATTACTGTTTAAAAATCAATCAGTTATTTTAATTCTACTATAGATAAAAAAATGGAAATTACATATTTACAGATCAGTAAATAATTTGCCTTCTTATCTCTTGTGTTTTCTTGCTACATCACTGTCAAGACCATAGCTGTTTTGATTTGAACGTTCACTTTTCCTTACTTCTCAATGAGTTCATTTTCATTACAGAAAAGGAGAACACAGATCTTTCTGCAGTAACCCTCAAGCCCAGAATGAGCAATCACCACGAAACATTACCAGGTTCTACTTCCTTTGTCAGATTCAGAAACAGAATTCTGCTTAAAGCAGTATTCTAAAGGTGAGAAACATATGGAAGTCCAGCAGACATTGTCAGTCCACTACAAGGAGGCAAATGACCCTGAATTCCTTGAACGGGGTTCATGTTATCTGTGGATGACAGCACTGAACTGGCCACATACACACTACAACAGGTAGCTTGCCCATCCAAATCAGTAACTTGACCCTGAGATGCAAAGGTTTCTGCTAACTCCACATTGCGCTGTCATCTCCTTTGCTCACCTCTGTCTGCTTCATGACTCAAAACTTTTGTCAGTATTGATTTCCAAAGGGGGCAGGAATGAAAGTGCACCTTGTCTTCTCCTGACTTTTTCCTGTTGGTCACAGACACCAGACTGCTTTCACCACGGATGCACCAACTGCCTTCCTCCCCAATGTTCTTGGGATCCTGTCTTATTCCAAAGGGTCTGCTCTTTCTCTACTTTTCTCTTGTGCATGCATTTTTTGATCTAAACTCTCTTCATATTTACTTACTTTGCCAGCATCACTTTCTTTAAGAACCATGTAGGGTTCTGCACAGTCTCCGATTTCTCCTTGCTGGAGCACTTTTTCTATCTACGAAAAGCAGGAAAATAAAACACTCGCAAAGAAAAAATATCACCCAAATAGTAACATGTTCCTCCTCTAGCAATACAAAAGAGCCTGCCTAAATGTGCAATATTGAAATCTTAAAATATCTTCACGGAGTAACTGATACTAAATCTTCTCCTAGTTTTCCATTGGTCTGTTAGAATGCTGAAAATACATATGTGACAACACTATCAATCAGGTACTACTGCATTTTCACCAAAATCAGGGAAAGAAACACATTCCAAATGAAGTGGTTCAGTTTCAGAATTAAATAGACAAAATTATGCAAAGTGCACTAAGCCAAAGCTGAAAAATCAACACAGAACGTAATTTTTTTAATTTTTTTTTTAATTTAACTTTACTTTAAATTTCCTTCAGGCAGAGATAGGAAGTTCTAAATATTTAGTAGAACTAGAACACAGGACATCAATATAACTTAGATAGGCTGAATCAATGCGCTGAGGCCAAGTCTATGAGCTTCAACAAGG